AAGAAAACATTTTAGCATTTGAAGCAAGCTTGATGCATAGCCTACAACAGACTTATTTGAATTGAGTTATTTGGTATTAGCTAAATTGCTGTTAAAATGTTAACTCAGCTGCAGTGAGCTTTGATCATACGCTTCCTGTTACCTTAGTTTGAAAGACAAACTTTGTGTACCTAATGAAAAAAAGATTAGTTCTGAGTATAGCTGGTTTACTAAGATGGTAAAGTTTGACAGATGGTCTTTAAAAGAGAAAAAAAATCATTCAAAGTCAGTACCACAGTAAAAGTACATAAATAGGCAGAGGCACTGGAACTTCTATGTGTAGTAAAACTTAACAGAGCACTCAGTGCTCAGCAGGCGCTGAGAATAAGAATTTTAAAAACTTCATTGATATCTACAGTTTACTCCTTATTTGTATTATTCAGTGCAGATCTGAAGAGCTGTGCAGAGTCAAAACTTCAAGAGAGGTCTTGGTTAACTTAGAATACAGAAATTTCAGTGAAGAAGAGTTCAGATAGCCTAGCAATTTAGGACTGAACTAGTTCTAGTCCTTAAAATGCAGGATTTAGGTTTTGACCTAAGTCTTTCTATTTTCAGATAACTTGCAAAAAACAGAACCAAGTTTACTTTATTTTCAGAATGAAATACATACCCTTTTTTCAAACTCAGGTGTTTATAACATTGTGCCTCTACGTTCGGGACTCTTTATGCCTCTATTGTTCTTGCTTTAATTTAAATGTGAAAGCTGGAGCCTTTAACAGCAGGCTGAGAAAACTTGTTTAAAAATAATTGTTCAGTTATACTCAGTTCTGTCTTGAATCAGATATAAAATTATACTTTAAAGCAAGTTTACTGGCCTGAGTATAGCCCAGCGTATCATTTATATTTGGATGAGTTAAATCACTAGACAATATGTCTATGTTGTCCTATGCAAGACCTTTAAATTACTGTGCATACAGTTTAATATATGGAAATGTGTTGTGTAATCGCTTCAGATATACACATCTGTTTCAGGAAAACTAAAGTATTACAAGCAAGAGGATTTCTGCCGCAAAAATGCTCCAGGCAATGGCTTTTCAGAGCAATTTTTAAAAGCCTATTAACTTCTGATTGTTCTATGTTAAACTTCTGCACTGCTGTGTTCGTATTTCTGTATATTGGATAAACTTACACATTTCATGTCATTAGTTTGTGTATGATGCTATTTGCTTTTATTTCATTGAAAGCAGCATCCCAGACGTTTTCCATTATACAATAGGCTGATACTTTCTTGATTAAAAAGCCAAATTACCCTGCTAACAGTGGTTAGCACAAATAACTGTGTTGCGGTTTAACCCCAGCCAGCAGCTAAGCACCACACAGCCACTCGCTCACACCCCCCCCAGGTGGGATGGGAGGGAGGATAGGAAGGGTAAAAGTGAGAAAAACTTGTGGGTTGAGATAAAAAAGTTTGATAATTAAAAAGAACTTTAAAAAAAAAATTAAGGGAAAAAAAAAAAGAGGAAAATAAAACCCAAGAAAAACAAGCCATGCAAGTGAAAACAATTGCTCACCACCAACCAACCGATGCACAGCCAGTTCCTGGGCAGCAGCCTCCCCACCAACTTCCCCCCCAATTTTATTGCTAAGCATGATGTCATATGGTATGGAATATCCCTTTGGTCAGTTTGGGTCAGCTGTCCTGGCTGTGCCCCCTCCCAACTTCTTGTGCACCCCCAGCCTGCTCACTGACAGGGCAGTCTGAGGGGCAGAAAAGGACTTGACACTGTGTAAGCACTGTTCAGCAGTAACTAAAGCATCAGCATGTTATCAACAGTATTTTCAGTACAAATCTGAAGCTACTATGAAGAAATTTAACTCTATCCCAGCCAAAACCAGTACACCATGCTTTTTAATTTGTCTGATTTTGTCTTTGCAGAGTAGTGCGTAGGTGAACATTAAGATCCCAGTTAGGTTGTATTCATTGAATTAAGGTTCTCAGAGGTTTTGAAAGCAAATTAATTCCTTTCTTCTGGTAGAAATTTGTGCTTTATGTGTGGTGGAAAATAGCGCAAGATGGGCTCAGTCTCTGATGTTTTAGGGCCAGCATTGGATTTGCAACAAACTTTGGCATGGGTACGAGACCACTCTGCCGTAGCTAGCTTTGTATTTGGTAATTGTATTTGTGTTTAACTTTAAATAACTGCCCAATATTTACATCAAACAGACATGGATTTCAGTGGGAGAGCGCTGCACAGAAAGGCCACATGACCACAGCTGCACACATTTAGAACCACCGATCTTTGTGTATACCACAGGCTGTTTCTTGAAAAGGCTCAGGTTGATCCTGTGTGTGTTGACTTGCACCTGATATACATGGGAAGAACATACAGGAAAGCGCTATTAGATGTGAATTGCTAACTGACATCAGACAGCCCGTGCAGCTTACCTTCAGCAGCTTTTTTTCCTAGAAACGACTCGAAAACAGGATGGGTGAATTGTTTAGCCATCAGCAGTCTCTTCCTGTAGGCCATCTTCGCAACAGGGCTTGGCTAACAGGGATTGTGCCAAGAGAGTGGGCCCCCAGGAAACTGATGACCAGAGCAGGCTGCTGTCTGAACAATTCATCCATCTCATACCTTGCTCCCAGATTGCTTTTGAGAAAGTAATGTTACTAAACATTTTTAACTGATACGTATTGTAGCTGGGAAAAAATGCCTCTGAAAGGAATATAAGATGCATGGTTTAATTCCAGAATTAAATTCAGGGTATTTTTAGTCTTATCTAGACTAGAAGGCTATCATTTCTTTCCATGTTTTTTACATTACTTAAACCTAGTCTGTCAAGCTTACAGGTAAAGGTTTGCAGCACAAATCTGATTGATTTTAATGCTTTTTCTAGGGTGATCTTCACAGAAACTACTAAAGACTTCAAAGAACTCATTTTAGGCAAAGTAAGTGAAATAAGTTGTTCTGATAAAGTAAAATGGATCCTTGTTCAGTTGGAATTCAGCTTCAAGCTACCAATGAATGCCATAAGACCTATTATACCCGTCACACTGGCTTCAAGACTAAGCAAGATGTATCTTCATCTGACCTACTGTTACTTCAGCTTCGGACTGGAATAACCCTTTCAGAGAACAATACAATCTGCTTCCACCATGCAAAAATTTACATTGAAAGATTTGAAGACTTACAAAAATCATGTTGTGATCCCTTTAATATACACAGAAAACTATCAAAGAAAAACTTACGTGCAATTGACTTAGATGACGCAACTTTTCTAAGCGCCAAGTTTGGAAGACAGTTTGTACCTGGTTGGAAGCTTTGTCCCAAATGTATGCAGATAATAAATGGAACCGTGGATGTTGAATCCGAAGATCGCCAAAGAAGAAAACTTGATTCGGACGTACGTATATGGATTAGTTTTCCCACCCCCGCTTAGTTCTGCAAGCTATTGGAATTGGGCTTCATACAAGTCCTACATAAAGAAATAAAGTTTTTTAATAGAAATATGAAAGGGTGTAGTCTTTTAGATGTGTGGAAGTTTACTGTATTTAAACCTTTATATGGAGGACCTTAAAACAATCCTCTTTCCTAATTAAATATTATGGCCTTTTAAATTCAAATGACTGTGTGTACTAGGATGACTTACAACTCGTAAGTTATGTAAATACCAGACTGCTGCTGGTATTTTAAGCTGTTACTCAAGCCTTACAAAAAACAAGCTCGTGTGCTTAGAACTGCAAAGGTTGCTTCTAAGGATGTTGAGATAAACTTCTGGTTTAGTCTCTTCAGTTTAAAAAAAAAAAATCCACTTTCTCTAGCAGTTCATGACCAAGTGAATGTGCATTGAGGTGAATTAAGTGTGGTTGTGTTGTGGTGTCTGAGCTGTGAAGGCCGTGGCGTTTGTTCAGGGGCAGTAATGAACTGGTGTGGGAGGATAATGCTTTAAGTGCTGAGTTTGGAATACAGCTGATACATTGTTGGACGCATTATTCAAGGTGTATGCAGGTAATCAGTAGAAGTGTGGGCAACCACATCAGTAAGAGCTCATCCATATATGCCCTATAGCAAAGCAGAATGGCCTTCTAGGAGCTGTTGTCCCTTTCAGCCCAACTGTATTTTTCAGTTACATGTCAGTATGATTAGGAGACTGATAGGGGGTGAAATTTGAAAGCATTGATTAAAACTGCTACTATAAAGCTTGTACTGTTGGGTTTTGAGACTGGTACAGTTCTCCAGTATAAAAATTTTAAGATTTAAGTTGTTTTTCCTGGGAGATCCACTGCTTAGCGTTCAGCTCAACAATTTACCTAAGTTATTACAATATCCTGGCTTGACTGGACATTTTCTTATGAATTTAGGTTTGTATTTGTAATTAAATGAGATTTTCTGTCTTTGTTCAGGGGCGTACAGCTAAGGCTTTAAAGTCTCTACAGTTTGCTAATCCAGGACGACAGACTGAATTCACTCCTGAGACCAGTAAAAGGGAAAAAAGGCGGCTGCAGGCAAAAAATGCATCATTTAATTCAGACAGGTGAGCTGTTTCCTGTATTTACATTATTTTCAACTTTCACTTCAAAATAAAATGTCTGTGATGGTAAGTGTCCTTGTAACACTGTAACATTTTCTATATGGATGTTTGCATGTTTATGGATTGCTTTTTTGGTTTGAGGATGTTAAAGCTCACTCTCATTACCGAGATAAAACAAAAGATAAAGTGTTAGCCTACAGTCCATATTTCAGACAATTAGAATACAAACAAGTATTTGGTAAGGCATGACAATACTACACAGTTCATAGATGAAGCTATTAATTGATGCATAAAGTAAAATTCTGATAATAGGCTAAATTTGAATCCAGTAGGATCAAGCAGACTACACTTAAAATATTGGAGTTGTCATCTTTCGATAAACTCAGTAATTACACTTTGTAAAAAAAACTGTGCAAGTTAGGACCTTACCTTCCTTTTAAAAAAGGAAGTTAGCCTCCCAGTTGGACAATACTAGTTAACAAATTACAACCTTCTAATGTGACTGATTTTAAAAATCACGCTTTCTACAGAGGAAAGGTATATGCAGCTGAATTTTGTCTGTCATTTTCCACCGAAAGTTTGGACCAATTCAGTCTTGTCCTAATAGGAGAGTGATAGAAGTCCCAGCTTTAACTAGTCATACAATATTTGTTAAAACATGCAAGACAGATCACATTAATACCTTTCCCCTGCTCTCCACCTAAGTTTAACTTTACAAGACAGAAACAGATGCTAGATGTGCTGTTCACAAGCCACACGTCCTTTTCCCCTCCATTTGTTTCTTCTACTCAGTTTGGGCGCAAGTTGCAACCAGAGAAATTTTGATGAGATGTTAGGAAAACTTCTTCTACGTATGTTTTAAAACACTGGATCCAAAGTGTTGTGGCATCTCTGACGTTAGAGCTATTCAGAACTCAACTAGATGCAGCCCTAAGCAACCTAATTTGAGTTGACCTGGCTTCGAACAGAGGGTCAGACAAGGTGACTTCCAGAGGTCCTTTCCAAACAGAGTTTTTCTGTGATTCTGCAGTTTAATGGAACTGTTACAGAGATGGGTAAAGATAAAAGCATTAAAAATACTTTTAAATTAGGGTGTGCACACCCTAAATGATTCTACATGACCTCCTTTGAATTGTAGCTACACTTACAAAAGAAAAGTAAATTAAGGGAGCATTTCACATCATCTGAAAGGTAATCTGAAGTCTACATCATATAACTAAGAATATTCATAAGTGGTTGAATAAGCGTGCTATTGAAGAAGTAAAAACTTCCCATTCTTGAAATTATTTCAAAAGCACTATAGTGGAGATACAATTGGGACTGAGAAACGTTATCAAATACAGTAACATATATACATCTTTTAAATTAACAGAGTGTTAAAATGAACACCTGAAGAAAGCAAACTTCTGTCCACAACTATTAGCAGCTTGGCATTAAAATAGGTGGATTTTTTAACATGGAAATAACTGTTGTTTTTCATTATACAGGCAAGTTATACCAGCCAAGAGTAAAGTCTACGATAGCCAGGGACTACTACTTTACAGTGGGATGGACCTCTGTGATTGTCTTGATGAAGATTGCCTGGGATGTTTCTACGCTTGCCCCAAGTGTGGCTCCAACAAGTGTGGAGCCGAATGTCGCTGTGACCGCAAGTGGCTATATGAGCAAATTGAGATAGAAGGAGGAGAAATAATTAGAAATAAGCATGTTGGTTAGTGTATATGCACATTGTTTATCCTGAGTATATATTCCATGCTTTGATTAAACACAGCACATTAATCATTTAGTGGTTTAATGAAAGCCGTTGGAATTTATCATGATCCACATGATTGATGTTCTCACTTTCACATTCATTTTCAGTACGATTATGGAAATATTCTTAATCATACTACTGCCTTTTCACACTTCGTTCTACCTTGCACTCAGTCTTGTTAGTCATCCAAGTAAGTTCTCATTGAACAGTCTTTCACTGTATTTAAGTACAAGATCCTAAATTTTCACGTGACATATCCTGAGCCACTCACCATCGTTTCATATACTGCTTTGTAGAGTGTACAATCTCCAGGTGTCCCTCATTTTGCCTTCTCTAGTTCAGGATCTCATGGTTTTGAAGCTGGTTTATGTGCAACACTCTAAAAGTTCTCAGTGAATTTACATGCAGAATTAATAAAGCCCTCTCCAGTATTAATAGCGAATGCTATATCTTCTATAGATTATCCCAGCTACATCTGATAAATTGAATCCTGTTCACTTAAATGGATTCAAAGGCATTTAGGATTTCAGATCCCATCCCAGTTACTGGGATTTGAGGTCAAGTTATCCTTTTGAATTCAAGCCTCACTGTTAAAGTGTTATTAAACTGTCATGGCATTGGAAAATATGTTAAAGTATTTAATTGTGGTACTGTTTTCCTGGTTGCTGTATAACACAATTGAAATAATTTTGCTGTGTTTGTTATCAGCCTGGACCAGTACTTCAGCAGCCCTCTCCCCTTTTTTTATTGTTGTTTGTTTTTAAGGTAAATGTTTACATGTAGCTGAAATGAATTTGAGTGTCTGTTCCCAAACTAAGAATAGCCAGACTGCTACAAAAAACTAAACAGTTGAATTGAAATTATGTTTGGTTGATGCAATATCTATCCTCAGAACATTAAAATATACAATATAACAGGATTTATGGAAAAGAAATGTTTATAATTGAAATCTTAGTAACATTTAAAGTGTTATTCCTTGGTATTTTTGTTGTGTTTTGGATAAATTTCCTACTTTTGTGATAGACTTGGAAGATCTGCATGTTTATTGGGTCACATTTATTCAAGAATACTCTTAACTATTGATTTCTGAAGACTTAGTTGATAAAGTTGTATGATCTTGCTATTTGTTTAGAGTATTTTCTGGTAAGTGTCATGACAGTTACAATGCTAAAAGCCAAAGTTACACTTTGAGTTGTACTGACCTCTGCTGGTCCTAGTGAAGTATACTTGTACTACATTTTTATTAAATCTGCTACAAAATTAAACGGACTTTCTTTTTTTGGTCAGAGCATTGGCTGTTCTTCCAATGGACGTCTGTCTCCGTGGCCTTCCAGCCACATTTATCACAAGAACCATCATGTGAGTTTATTTAGGGAGAGCAGCATGCTCTTTACGCTCTTTTCCAGGCAGCAACACCACAAATGTGTAATAGCCATGGCTTCCCTTACATGCAAGTGGCATTTAATATGTTTTACTTTGTTGACTACAGAGCATGCTTATCCTGACACAGCAATTAATCTTGTGTGCTTGATCCATGTTTGGAACTGTTTCATCTCTTAAGCAACCTTTTGAATTAGATGACAATGTAAATATATACCTCCATGAAAGCAAGAGGGGGAAAAACTGGTCCAACCTTGTAATTTTTATGTATTTATTATTTTTTAAATTAGATCCAAGTCAGCAGTACCCATTGTTAATAAACTTAACAGGCTTCCAACTGTTTGATGAATATAACTTCACTTAAGTCCACAGTTAGACTTTGGATTCAGTAACTGTTAAAGCATTTCACTGCAGTGAAACATGAGTCTACCAGTAGCTTAAATTGCCCAGAGCACCCCATTATTAGAACTGTATTTCTGCTACTCCATTAAGTCTCTGAAAAGTTAGTATATTCAGTCTCTCATTTTACAGATTCACTAGCAATGAGTTCTTTCCCAAATAAATCACTTGAGTTGTTTCCTAACAAAATGCATAGGACTGCTGTTTGACTAAAAACCCGCGCTAAGTATGGGTACTGTTGATTGTTATAGAAACTACAGGAGACTGGGTTTTTTCCAGTAAAACTGAGCTTTTTAGTGTTGGTTGTTCACGTGTCCTGCTTACATATTTAGGGCATTTCCATTTAGCTTCATTTCCTTAACATGCCTAGCTTGTAGCATGTTAAGTTCAGTAGTATGTTTTTATACACTTCCATGTCCCCCTCATCTCTTTTTCTGTTAAAAGACAATGTTGCAAGTCAAACTTTACCATCTTGTTAGATTTAAAATGCTTACAGCTATGGATTTCTCAGATTTTTTTCTGTATGTTTTATAAACACCACACAAACTTATCCCATCAGCGTAATACACAAGCTATTATCATCTAAAAGCAATTGCATATTGTTCCCAACAGCATATGTAGTTCCCCATCTTCCAGAATTACTCTACAACTAAGCCTGTTAAACAGTGTGTTCTTTTAATATAGTCAAAGGGAACAACTACTTTCCATAAAAGCCAAAGTTCATAAACCAGGTATAACCACCACTTTAAACTCCGCATGCATTAAAGAGAAAAGCCAACTGCAGATATACCCCAGTTACCATGTTAAAACTTGCCTTTTGATATTAATTGCAAAAATTAATGCCTAGGCAAAGTTTACACATTCAAAGGATAGAAATGAATGACAATAAAAGAATCTGTTTTATGAATAATAGATATCCCATGGATCAATTTGAGTTTATTGAACAGAAATTCCAGATTTGCGATCTCTTAAGTACAGTGTTAGGTACTGTTTTGGTTTCTCTCGCACAGAGAAAAATTCACATCAAGTTTAGAAGATGTTAAATTGACCATGTTCTAAAGTCAGTGAGAGTTCTGTGGACCTTGTGGGAGTTACCACAGAACTTTTGTGGTCATATCTGAGATAGGATGTGTCCTCTTTCCCCCAGCCCCCCACACCGTTTAGTGGAGATGAAAGTTTCAAACTAATGAAACATGCCCTGGGGTGTTTTCTGTTAAATACTGACTGTAAATACTCCAATAACAACATAGTACAGTCAGGTAATTAACTCGGAGAAGGTGTTATGTTGACATTTTTGGCATCTATGCTACTAAAAGGCATTTATCTTTGGGAGATATATTATAACTTTATCCTTAGAAACAGCATGAATTTGGATTTCTTTTAATCAATTAAGTCCATAACTCTTAGAGACTAACATAGGGAGACTGACTTTTGAATCTCTTGGCTGAGCATTCAAGACATCAGAAACAGCAGGAAGTGGACAGACCTACACAAAAAGCATGATTTTATAAATCCAGAAGTCAGAATTAAGGCCTCTAAGGGGAAAAAAGAAAACCGCAATAAGGTGACCAAATTCTTTTTTTTCCTGAGTTTAGACCTGTTTTAATGTTCTTTTTAGCCTTTTTGTATAGGTGGTTCCTATATTAGCCAGAATGGACCAATAGACAACTGCACGAGAGCTCGCACTGAAATCCTGTAGTGACATGCTACACAGAGGTTAAGTGTTCAGGTGGACATCTGTCACTTGTTGTGTGACAGAAACAGCTACAACTTGCCGGAATCAGCATTAAAGCCTTCAAGTTCTCCTAGTATCATGAAACAGCATAAACATACAATTTCCAGTTTTGATTACTTTGTTTTCCTCTAAAATCAGAGTCACATTTTTGGTTATATTTGTGTCTCAATAAATGCAAAGTTCCTGCATTTTTCAGCTGATTTCTCAGTGAAACATAGGATGTACAGACATGCAGTAGCTGATGATGTCCCTCATGATCTAGATAATTTTCCCCAGTAATTCTTCAGCAAACATTCTTCAAGTTTTATTCACCTTTATACTGATTTCGGTCAATATCATACTAATGACAACTTTATTTAAACAGGCTAAACAGTTCTCTCCAACTTTAAGTTATACATGCTTTTAAATCCTACTAATAGTAGAGGAACAGATTATTAAAAAGATTATATTTGTATTTAAAGATCTTTAATTACAAGTTGCATCTAACTTACCAATGTGAAAGCCATAACCAGAACTATTCTTATATTCATTCACTGCAATTAGATGTCAAATTAACATTTCTCCTCCAAGCACATATTAAAAAAATATTGTAGGGAGGTGTGGACGATTGCAATTAAACTGCCCAGTTCACTCTTAGCACGGGTTTTGTTCGAAACTCATTACCCTGCTCCGAAATAGGGGTTTTACATTTTAAACGTTTCTCACACCCAGCAGAGGGCATCAGCTTACTGCAAACCTGACCGTGAACTTCTCCTGGTGCCCCTCTTAGAGATGCATCCCCAGTCATCTGAGCAGGGGGGATTTCATTATTGGACAGATTCAGGAATCGAGCCCAGGGCGAGAGATGCATTACTCACGCCTGTGAGGTTGAAATATAGCAGACTCAAGTACAAGATTAGCACTTAAAATTAAGAGAAAGGGAATTTCTTTTTGGTCTTTATAAAAGTTTCTCATCCACCCCCTTCCCCCAAATACCTTGCCAATTGTTAGTTCTTTAAGGAGAGATCAACACAATTCTTTATAGATACATTTACGATTTACAGTGTTTGCTATGAAACCTTACTTTAAAGCTTCTATCTGAGGATTCCCTTAGAAATTTAGGATTAGGTAGCTGAGAAACCCACACACAGCAGGCTCCCGCGCTTGTTAGCAAAACAGGAGACTTCCCGACATCCACACTGGTGCTACTGCCAGTGTGCAATACGCAGCTGAAGAACCACACGTGTCCTGTTTCCCAGACAAACAGGTAAAATACTCTGACAGTATTTTACCAGAGTAGCTACAATAGTAACCCAAAGAAGCCTAGCATAAGCTGTGGTAGGCCAGGGTGGGGAAAGACAAGAGGGGCAGCTGGGGGTGGGAAGTTTCCCTGGGTCTCCTACTACTACTAAGTGGTGAGAAAATTGCCCTAATTCTTCTCTTCTTCCTCCAGCTTTCTTTGGCAGCCCTTCACATGTACTCACCAGCAAATCAAATCCGTATAGCACACTAAATGACTTGCCCTTCTAGGCTCCAGTTAGGGCAATATTAACAACTAGAGTGCAATAAACTCAATTCTCCATCTTGCCCACAGGTGACAGCACTATCTACTATAACCTCCTGAGAGTAAACAGTGATTTAGTGTCCATGCAGAGCCCGAGACTGCAACCAGAAGTAAAAGCAATTCTCTTCTGTCATCTTCTGATTTTCTCCTTGTTATTCTTCCATTTGTTCTTGCATTTTAATTGATAGCTCTACCTACTTTAAATTGTTCATTTTAGTTACTGAATTAATACCATGAAGCAGACAACATTAGTTTACATATTTTAAAAAAAAACAAAATAGTCCCAGCAAGCACCAGCTAAGCGTCCCAAGTGAGCCACTTACTTACCAGAACCATCAGAACTTAAAAACTTCTCAAAGAGAAATCAGTTTCTACGGTTCTTAAGGCCTCATAAGTCATCTCCAGAGCCCAGCCCAGACAGAGAAGAAACAGGCATCATAATCTAATGTATATCTAAAGACTACAGAGCTATTCTATTAGCACAACTACTTTGCTTAAAGGTAGAAAATCAGATTTTACCAAATTTCAGTAGCTAAGTTTCCTAAAACTCAGTATTTCTTGTTCTAGTTTATCCTTTCTAGGAGTACCTGATAATCCAGATGTATTCAAGAGAATGAGCTTCTCCTCACTTCATCTATTACAAGTTTGTAAGACAAAAAAATGCCCCCAAAAAGAAAGAAACATAAAAATCCCCACTATCAAACCTCTAAGCTGCTCCCTTCCTTCTGTTTTATAACAGCAGTGCTCTGGCAGGTGACTCCCTTGGCAGTTTCCAATCAGACGGGCTGGATCCTGCCAGCTGACTTCAATGTTGCTGCAACCTTTCTCCTGACAACCAGCTCTTCTTAATAGGTATCAGTTAGAGTGATTATATTTTAGCTTAGTTTTCAGTTATTATCTTTGTGCTGCTTCCTGGGAGTTTCAGCTCAACCTCTAAGAATAGGGAAAAATCAGAGTTATTACTCTGTTAAATATACTTGCCCGGCCTCAAGCCAGACTCCTTAAATTGTACAGGCTCCTCAGATCATCGCTGAGGGGGCCCTAAATCTCAGCTACACTGTTCTATCAAGCCAGTTTGTCTATGTATTTCATTGGCAATAGCAAGCTGTTCTGCCTCGGTAGTGAGCTCGTATTAACGGTCCTATTGACTTCAGTGAAATTGCTTCGGTGGGTAAGCAGGCCAAGCAAATAGATGGGCGCTGCACAAGTGAAACGTG